TATATTTAATTTGATAGAATGTGAGTCCGATGACACTGAGACTTCTAAACAAATACAAAATAAACTCACACACACTTCAACTTGTGATTACACGTCAGGTAAAGTAGGGTCTCTGCAACAAGTGAAGGAGACAGTTTCATTATCAGAGAAGGTACAGAGAAGAGTTGGGGCAAGGTTAGTTTTTCAACATGTTCTGTCAGAGTTCTTTCTGGAGTGGATGAAATGAAAGAATACACTCAGAATAAAACCTCTAGTGAATTATCAATAGTGCTTGGCATTGCTTAAGGCTGCCTGCATGATTTAGGCCGTACAACTGGAAGCCTTTGACAATTCACCAAGGATGCTCCAATATTACAAATAGCCGAGAATATTATATATATATATATATATATATATATATATATATATATATATATATCGTAGCTTTATCACTTGTCCCAGATGATCTCAGCCACATTGGTAGTACTTCATTTGTTGAGAAAACACTGAAATGAATAAAAAACAATGAGGTTAACTGTGTGACGGCAATATTTAGATGCATATTTTATGTCCTTATCAACTGAGGTTGCGATGACTTTGCAGGCCTATCAGTCATCCCCTCCTTCTGTCCCAAATGGCCAAACACGCTTATTTATTAATCAAACGTGTCACACATTAGAGATTTTAATTCCCTGCACATCCACATAAGCGTCTTGTTTAATTATGCTTTTGGTATAATATCAACTGCGCCAAACACTTGAAGCCACAAAGCTGACATCCAGGTGTGCACAAACGGAGAGGGAGACAAATAAAATCACATTAAAAGGCACATTAGTAAATATACAAATTGGCTTTTTTGTATAATTTTAAACATAGTGTTAAAATAGCTGCTCGATATATCACATTATGCGGCATGATATAGTACATATCACATAAAATACCTTTGCTGCCCTATTTTTCCTGAAATAAAAAGTGAACGTTACCACAAAACGACCCCCACAATGTAACCGTGTTTTACCACAGACTTTGTAATGGTAAAATCCCATGTGGCATGAATGAATGTGTTGTGCCATAAGCGTTGCTCGGGGAAATGAGAGCTGTGGCGGCAGTGCGGATGCAAATATGCAATTACATGAAGTACATAGATGAAATCAAAAGGAGACTGCATCATAAATAAACATGCAAATGCTTAGGGTAAACGTGTAATTTATTCTATTTATGAGTCAATGAATACTGTGGAAGTAATAAGAAACATTCTGATTCGCCATGTATCTATATTTTATTATGATATTCAGTGCCTCTGTATCTGTAAACAAACTTTAAAAGGCTGGGACATAAATAGTTTTACACTCATGATCACTGAATATCATCTTTGCAATTTAATCAGCCTTTAAAAAGGATCAGTGTGCAATGCTTTACAGATTGATGGGTCTTATTTTATATCCAATATCAGAGTTCTATATGTTAAATGAGCACAAGAAGCGTGTGTCAGTGATGCATGAACAACTCGTAATCTGACAGACATGACTAACAACTGTGAGTCTTGAAATAAATACTAATTATTTTACCATATGGTAAAAGATGCTGATATTTACAGTAAACCACTACGGTCTACGTTTACATCAGTCTTGGCCAAGGTGAAAACAAAAAATGCTCCTCCAAGTGTTTGGATTTCAGTGACCCTGAAATATGAAAGAGGTCATTTCCGAGCTCAGTTGACAAACTTCCCAAACAGTTTCCGGTTTTAAATCTCATTGTTAAATATTTCCCAAGGACTGTGTGCACTACCAAGGCTTTGACCTCCTTTTCATACGGGTCGTTCCACATATTTTCTTTGTCGTAAATGAGTAGAGAATTTCTTGAGGCTGATCATCGAACTGAATGTTATCAGAACCAAACTGAAAAGGAAATGGTAATGCAATAATACAGGTGTTATTGTTGCATACGGCAGAGCATGCAACATCGCAGGTGTACAATCATTTATTTCATATCGCTTAAAGATCCCATGTCATGGCCATTTCTACTGATCATAATTCCTTTGTTGAGGTATACTAAAATAGATTTATATTGTGCAATTTTCCAAACTCACATTGGTTTCTCATACAGCATCTCTGTATAGTATGTGTATTCACTCTCTGTCCTAAACGGCTCCTTGTGAGCCCACTGGCCGTCTGCGAGACAGCGAAACCCAGCCCGAAACCAGCCCGAGCACACACACACACACGCAGCCTGGCTGGGAGTTTGTATGTGTGCTCACACACACAGACTCGCAGCCTCGCCGCATCCCGCCGTCTCAGGGAGATGGAAATTGGCGGAGCTGCAGCTGAGAAAAGATTGAGTGTGTGTGTGTGAGGAAGTCTGCGGATTGGTCCATTTGGATCAATCCGCGGACTTAACGTAACGGCTCCGCGGATGTAATGTAACGGCTCCACGGATTTGTCCATTTGGGTATGGGCACGTCACTGTACTCAGGAAGAAAACAATGGAAAAAGAGAAATCTCCAACGAGGCGTTCTGGGGCAGCATAGACAGGTCTTTTCTGTGTTAGAGTTTTACTCGCTACAGGGTGTACTTTGAGGGTTTGTGACTTTGCAGACCGTTTACATGCATAAAAACCTTCGTAACACACAAGGGGACGGGTAATAACAGGAAAAGCATGACATGGGACCTTTAAAAGGGCCCTATTGTGCTTTGGGGATAGTTTCCATATGTGTAATATATGTTTTTATGCATGTAAATAGTCTGTAAAGGCTAAAAATCCCAAAGCTGCCTAAACAGCCTCCATTGGACAACTTTGTTTTCTTCCGCAACATGGTGACATCACTATAAAGCACTCGCTCTTCTATTGGCTAGCGCTCCAACACACTGTACCTGATATATCAATATATAGCAATAATCTGATAGGTGGATGTTTTATAGACAAAAGGTTTAGTAGTTGTATATATTTTCTGTCAGCATCGTTAATTA